CAGAGTGTGTTTGTGTTTGTGTGTGTGTGTGTGTGTGTGTGTGTGTGTGTGTGTACACACACTCACACAAACAGATACTATTTATTTTTCGATGCTAGTGGGTAGAAAGCAGTAGAGTGATATCAATGTGATAATATCAGACTTAAAATGAAATGAAATGACAAAAGTGTAACAAGGCATAGGAGGAGGATACACAAAAAACAGAAAACATTAAAATCCAGTTGTATTCCATCTGCGCACCAAGATTACAAGATTAGGATTCACACCCCTACAGACTACTTTTTATTAGCTCCATAACGGATTTATTGCTGCCAGCATGATGGTTTAGCTTTTTAAAATCCTTTTTAGTCTTCAAGGTCCACCGTGCCATTGACAACCCACCATGCATCATAATGTGGGACTTGCTATAGAAACCTCTTAAATTTGGTGTTGGTATATTCGCCTAGAGTAAGATCCCATTCCTCTGACGATCAGTTAAGTGACCTACTTGAGAGCGGGAGAGAGACGGAGGGGTGGAGAGCAGCACCAGTGATGATTGCTGTCATTATAATCTAGTACTAGAGAAAATGAGGCTAATGCAAGTGTCAATCTGCTAAATAAGTCCACTGGGCTCAATAGCGCAGCTGGAGCTCTGGAGCAGAACCCGCACACACCGCTCGCTAATATCCAGTCTTGACCTTTCGTAAAATCAGACCACTTGCATGCGTACAGTAAACGCAGAATCAGGTCTTCTGTTGAGCATCAGGATCAAACTGGTTATGTCAAGTTTTATTACACTGTCACAGCACATTATAGTGTAGTAGATGATATACATATATATATCTGGGTTTTAACCACTATAGACATTGAGGACAGTTTTGTTATTGCTAGCTAAAACAGAAATTTAAATATAGTACTGCTCAAAAAAATATTATATGATAATAATAAATATTAAACAGAAACTAATAAAAATGACAGAAAATCACAATAACAGAATTACAATTGAAAACTGAAAATATAAAAAAACTAACACAAAATATTAACAAGTACTATAATAGTATAGAAATAGTCAAAATATTTAATTCTGTTACACTGACAAATATATATGTATAATACTAATAACAGTTGTTTTTTTTAATATTTTGTATATAGTTAAGTAGATTTTGACACTGTTTATTTGGTTGTATATTAAAATCTTAAAGTCTAATTACCTTCCAAATCACCCTGTTTTACTAAGAAAAAATTAATAATTATAATATAATTTATTATTTTTTAGATTTTTAAAAAGATTTTTATTATTAAATATGCATATATCTTAATATATTATATTAAATAAATTAATGTTAAAATAAATAGATATATATATTTATACAATAGATATATATATATATTTATATGAACAAACCATTAAAATCTATCAATATAAATGTAACTTATGTGCTGAACCTCATAAAAGTTATATATATATATACTGTATATATATATTCTCTTTCTACTTAAAAACTTCGTTTAATTCAATTCGTTACCGTTTAATTCTAATTATTGTGAAATTTACTAGTGACCAGTTTCTGAGTGAAAATGGTTTCCAAGTAAATCCTACACTCATTTCTTTGTGGGTGGATTTTTCCACAGTCCAGTCATTATAGGATTGTCTTCTTTGCGAAGGATAAATGTGAAACCCAAAAGAAGGTTTCTTAGAAGGCAGCATGATTAAGCTCCATACTTTTAGAACAACCTAAAAACGGTGCTGAAATTGGCTTTAAAATTGCATGAAATGTGACCTGGACATGTTCTTGACATGACACTTTTCACCCAGAGTGTACACTTACTTCCTGTCAGCTGTGTGCACTTCCTGTGCACGGTCTGTTGGACACAGTCCCCCGGTGAAGCATGGCGAGCTCTGGTGACTTCAGTATTCTCTTCTGCTTAAATGACTGCAGCCTGTGCATATTATTTGTGTCCTTTGCCTTTCCTCTGCAAATGTAACTTTTATGAGGTTGTCAGGTCTTGTTGCTGAAGCAGAACAGACTGTTTGATGTCGAAGAGAACAAAGTGAAGGTCTGGCTCAGATCTCACCAAATACACAGGGGCACTTTATCATAAACATGAGAAGAAGCAGAGCGTAGAGTCGCTCCAGGTGTGTTTACTGAGAGCCTGAGGATGATGAAGATTCGCTCCAGAAAACAACAGCAACCGTCAGGCCATTATACCCCACTGTTAGAAAGTCCCTCGGCCCGTTTTGGGAAATAATCATTATGTTTTCAGATTTTCATTTGGCATCACATCTTTAGTAGTAGTGATGTCAGCGATAACAAGTATTATTGTTTTGCTTATATTTTGTATATATTTACATTTTGACTCTATTTATTGCGTCGTAAGTTAAAGTCTGTTTAAATTGTGTTAAAAGCCTGTTTTTGAGTAAACTGTTCAATGGCACTTGACAAAAAGTATTTATTAATTTACTATTTTATTGTTTTATTTAACTACATTTAAAACATTAATTTAATAGTTTTATTTTTATATTTAAAAATATATTTATTTATGTTTTAACTATATTTTAAAACATCATTTGTATAATGTTATTTTATTTTTAAATGTATTTTTAATTTATTTATTATTTTATTTAACTACTTTTAAATGTAAACAAAATATATTAATTTGTGGTATTTAACTACATTGTAAAACAAATTAAATAGACAGTTTTAATTGTCAATTAAAAAATATAATATTTTATTTAACAGTATTTTAAAATATGAGCTAAATAGACTGTTTTAAATGTCAATTTTTTTAAAATGTAAAAAATATTAATTTATTTTACTACATTTTAAAATGTGAATTAAAGTGGTCATATGATGCGATTTCAAGTTTTCCTTTCTCTTTGGAGTGTTACAAGCTCTTGGTGCATAAAGAAGATCTGTAAAGTTGCAAATACTAAAGTCTCAAATCCAAAGAGATATTCTTTATAAAAGTTAAGAGTCAACCACGCCTACCTAAAACGGCTCGTTCTAACACGCCCCCACATATCTACCTCACTATGTGGAAATATTAGCATAATACCGCCCAAATGTGCACGCAAAGAAAGAAGGCGTGGTTTCAGGAACAGCAGTAGTGTTGATGCAGCCATGTCAGGGAGACGCTGTGTGTTTCAGTGCGAAAGCAAAAGCACTTTATTTGGCCTTTCCGGAAGTAGATGCAATTAGGAATCATTGGTTAAGATTTATTTACAACAGAACAGCACAACCCAGATGTTCGAATTTGTGCAACGCATTTTATGGACGACAGTTTTTTGAACGGCTGGCTGTGCACAAAGGCTATTTTCGTGGAACGTCTTCCTGTGTTCGTCTCCCTTGGTTCCTTGGTGCAAATAAAGTCTTGTCAACATATTCTCAAGCGTCTCCTCGTCCCTCGTGTGTGTGTGCAACGTGACAGCTATGACAATGTGGCGCTTCTAAATCAGCGACTGTAAGTATGTTTTGTTATTAGTTTAAATTTTTAAATGGCAAATTCTTATTAAATTAAAGAAATATGTATTTATTTTATATAACAACATGGATTAAATAGACATTTTTAAATGTTAATGTAACGCTGAGTCAGAGGCGTGCGGATCCATTTGCAGCTTTTATTAGAATAACAGGCAGAGTAAAACAGGCAGTATTCAGTCAACAGCGTCACGTACAGCAGGGGAAATCCAAGAGAATAAACAGTGGCAGAGCGAGGGTCGGGGCAGGCGGCAGAGAATCACACTAGTAAGAACAGTCCGAGGTAATACACAAGAGACGACAAGATAGGGGATAAACGCTCAGAAATGTAGCCGGGGCAATACAAGACTTCGCAAACATAGAGAGTCTGAGCGCTGCTTAAATAGGGAAGCTAAGGGGGAACACCTGTGCCATAATCAGTCCCAGGTACGGGGTGTCTGGGAAATGTAGTCCATGAACGTTAGTACTCGGGAGAGGGTGCCCTCCGGAGGCCATCGGAGAGAGCCACAGAGGCCTGATTCGTGACAGTTAAGAAGTATTTATTAATTTGTGCTAACTACATTTTGAAACTGAGTTAAACAGGCAGTTTTAAATGTCATTGTATTTTGAAATGTAAAAGTCTTTTATTAATGTATTTTTTATTTAACTACATTTTAAAACGAATTAAATATGCAGTTTTAAATGTCTATTAATTTGTCAATAAAAAAAAAAAGAGTGATTTATTTATTTCTTTTTTGTTACATTGTTTTTTCATTTCACTCCTAGTCCATACACATAGTGACCACATTAATCTCTAAAACAGAGAAAAAACATAAATGATGAGAGATCCACGAGTGATATGAAATGCCATTTAACCGCAGATCATCTTACAGTACATTGAAACCTTCCTTCATTAAACCAACTCAAATGAACACAGCGCTCCTCCTAAAAGCCCACCTGAACACTCGTTTAAAACCTCTCCTCCAAACCTCTGTAATTAAAGAAGAAGCCTGCTGGTTTACAAAACATGCCGATATTGGCACTGATTGCTTGCTTACTGGCTGGGAGAAATTTTCTTCCGAAATGATTATCTGGAGAGTTCTGAGGACAGGACTCAGATGAGGCTTGTATCGTGTGTGGCTCGTATCTGTGTGTGTGTGTGTGTGTACTTCAGGCTCTCCAAACACGCTCAGTGAAACAGCACAGATGGGCCGTGATCTCACTTGGCTTTCTTACAGACAGACGGACAGGTGGTCACCCATTTCTCACCACAGATATCTCTTCTCTTTCTCTCTCTCTCTCTCTCTCTCTCCATCTTTCCCTCAGGAACTCAAGGAAGGAGCTGAATGACATACGGTTTGAATTCACTCCAGGGCAAGGTCAGTGCACCTCATCATAAATCGGCCGCAGTCTTAGCATAATGCTGCCTTCAAATCCTCAGGAGAAATTCCCACTCACGAGGCCAGGAAACATGATCACAATGTGAATTTGGTCAGAATAAAATGGACACAATTTCTTTTTCACTTGCTGACTGAATTTTGAAGCTTTTTTGCGCTAGTGCAACAAAATGAAATGTAAAGGATGAGCATTAGGTTTGCATGCTTTATGTACTGTATATATTTATTGTTCTTGTGCAACCACATGGAATGATTGGAAATGTAGTTTTCCAAGCAACAAGGGAAGGGAACAAAGGAAAGGGAAGCACATCCTTACCATCCGTACCAGATTGAAAATTAATTAATAAACAATCTTGTTTTGTTTTTATCAAATCAATTGACTGCAAGTCAACTTGTTTGCATTCTCCAAAAATTAAAATGTAATTTTCATTAAGTATCATATCAAACTCCAGTTTAAGTTCAGTCAAGACAGTGATCAGGTCTTTATTCCAGGTTTTAACATACAGTAGATGAAGCCTAGAAGACTCTCCCATGAAGTAAACGTGCAGTCACTGTGCACGCTGAAAACTGACTATGATTAATACCAGTTTAATTCTGTCGTGCCAAAACGCCTCCAGCTCGGTAAGCCAGAGCTCAAAGAAAATCCAGTTTCCTACTGGTAATTATGACATTGTGCTGGTGTTCATTGTGTCTTATAAAAATGATCTTTCCAGAGTGACTTGAAGGCAGCATTAGCAATAGAGAAACCTTAAGAGACACTCAGCGTGAAAGATCTCGCAGTGTTCCTTTAGTTCCTGCTCTGACTCATGATGAGCTCTGCCTGTGAGAAGATTGACCCAAAATCTTAATTTATTCACTATTTGTGTACTCATGTTCTAATTTTTTGTTGAAATTTCAATGAAAAGATTGTTTATATTTAAAAAAAAGATATCTGTCTGTCCGTCCGTCCGTCCGTCCGTCCGTCCGTCTATCTATCTATCTATCTATCTATCTATCTATCTATCTATCTATCTATCTATCTGTCCGTCTGTCTGTCCGTCTATCCATCCATCTATCTATCTATCTATCTATCTATCTATCTATCTATCTGTCTATCTATCTTCCGTCTGTCCGCCCATCCGTCTTTCTGTCTGTCTGTCCGTCTATCCGTCTGTCTGTCTATCTGTCTATCTGTCTGTCTGTCCGTCTGTCCGTCTGTCCGTCTATCCGTCTGTCTATCTATCTATCTGTCTGTCTGTTGACTATTTCTATCTATCTATCTATCTATCTATCTATCTTTCTATCTATCATCTATCTATCTAATCTATCTATCATATGACTATTTCTATCTATCTATCTATCGATATCTTAATCATGCTAGAAATGTATCTATCCTAGCGACATGCTAATCATGCTAGAAAGTACAAACAACATGCTAGTAACTTGTTAATCATGCTAGCAACATGCTAGTAGCATGTTAATCATGCTAGAAACATGCTAGCAACATGCTTGCTACACGCTTGTAAATTGCTAATCATGTCAGCAATATGATAATAACAGGCTAATCATGCTAAAAACATGCTAATCATGCTAGAAACATGTTATCAACATCTTCTATCTATCTGTCCGTCTATCCGTCCATCCGTCCGTCCGTCCGTCCGTCCGTCTGTCTGTCTGTCCGTCTATCCGTCTGTCTATTTGTCTTTCTGTCTATCCGTCTGTCCGTCCGTCTGTCTGTCTGTCCGTCTATCCGTCCGTCTGTCTGTCTGTCTGTCTGTCCGTCTATCCGTCTATCTGTCTTTCTGTCTGTCTGTCTGTCTGTCTGTCTGTCTATCCGTCTATCCGTCTGTCCGTCCGTCTTTCCGTCTATCCGTCTGTCTATCCGTCTGTTTATCCGTCTGTCTGGCTGTCTATCTGTCTGACTGTCTGTCTATCCGTCTATCCATCTGTCTATCTGTCCGTCTATCCATCTGTCCATCTGTCTATCTATCCGTCTGTCCGTCTGTCCGTCTGTCTGTCTGTCTCTGTCTGTCTGTCTGTCTGTCCGTCTATCTATCTATCTATCTATTGTCTGTCTGTCTGTCTAGAGACTCATTTGAAGTTTGACTACGAATCAGTTGATTATATTTTAAAGTGGCAGAAGTTGTAAACCATAAACAACTAAACTCTGCTTTCTTTCTATCATTGTTTGCTGCATGGCGTCGCACCCCCCAGCTCAAGATCTGACGTGTTCAGTGCAGTCCAGGCCATTGCGACTTGTTTGTTGATGTTTTTGTGCGTGGGTTTGGCAGAACATGCTTTTGACTTTGTGTTCTGACGGGTTTCTTGCTGTGATATCATGCTGTGTTGTTTTTTCTCCTCAGACACTGCTGATGGAGTTTCTCAGGAGCTCTTCTCTGCTGGTTTGGTCAATGGTCATGATGTGGTTGTGGGTAAGTTGCATGTGCATTAAACTCCTATGCACTGCCTCGTTCATCTGTAATACAGGGTTTCTTTGGGCCTTAAAAATATCTTAAGAAGTCTTAATTCGCTGTTCCACAAATGAAGATCTTAAAAGGTCTTGAATCAGAGCAGAAAGTCTTAAATTCATAGTTATGGCAAGAAATGTTGCATATAAAAATTTTAAATCAAGATGCCTTACTTAACATGCAAAATGAAGATATGAAGTCTTGTTTTCTGAGAAACTGAACAAAATTGGTTATAATGCTTAAAGCATGAAATATTTTATGCTTACAACATGAAATATGAAAACTTGTTTTTCCTTTGAATTAAGTAGATTTTTCTGAGCTCATTTGCACATATTTGTTCTTGTTCATAAACTCACTTCAACTTGATCAAATTCTTAGAAAACCAGACCTCTTATGTAATTTTGCTTCTCAAAAAAAATGTGTTTTGATTAAAGGATCTTTAGACATTTGTATTGGAAAACAAGACATAATACTAAGAAAAAGCATCAGTTTTTAGCAGTGTGCTCAGAAGGTACAGTAAAAGTTATTTCTAGAAACCCTGTATTATCAGTTAGTCTTATTTTGCCTGTATGCCTGAAATGCAAAGCTTTTATTTACAAAAAACATATGTTTGAATTGATTGCTGTGCATTTTAATCCTTAAATACTGCATATACTGTATATTTATGCATTTGGCAGACTCTTGTCTAAGGTAACTTACATTGCATTGAAGGTCGACATAATATAATAGGTATTTTTAAATGTATGTTTTAATAAATATTTTCTTATGTTAATATTTTTATATTAAAAAAATAGTATATAAATATTAATTACAAATATTAATATATATCTGTATGACTTCTGACCATTACAGCAGCTCGTGATGCTTCTGGTTTTGTAATGGAGCTCATACCTGCTTCATCTGCAAGGAGAAAATTGCAAAAGGAAACAATTCCAGGGGTCATTAGTTCACTAAACATTGAGAGCAATATGCTAGGTATACAGATGAGTCGCTCTGCTCTGAAAAGATCTGGCCATGCATCAGTAATGATATAACTGCACCAATTAATGCATGTGGTTAAAATTCATGGCTACACACAATTAGGCTAGTAGCCCTCAGGGCAATTTGAGTTCAAGACCCCTGCTTCAAGGCATTTCAGAGCAAATACATGAATGCTGAGATACTGCATATCCAGATATTGTTTGTTTAGCTATATCGCTCAGTTCTAATGTCAGTATCTTTTTCTACATGTGTTTTCCCAGTGGCTGCTAACCTACAGAAGATTGTAGAAGACCCAATTACCTATAAAGTATTGACCTTTAAGTTGGTGAGTATCCAGATGCTAAATGTCACAGAGAATCTTGCAGGATTCCCATGACTCAGGAAAACCTGGGAATGTCATGGCCTGGAAAATAATGGGAATTAATTGTAAAAAATACATACACATTTCTAGTTATGCACATTGTATTTAATTGGCTAGAAATTGCTCTTTGTGGGTGCAATCTGTATCATTTTATGTTATTTTAGAATCAATCAATCAATCACTACTAGTTTTTTTTATATATTTAGTTTTTAATTTTAGTTTAGTAAATTTGTTGTGTGCTATACATACATACATACACATACATATATATATATATATATATATACTGTATATATATATATATATATATATATATATATACAGTGGGAGGGGGTCTGAATACTTTCCGTACCCACTGTATATGCAGTTTTTGCTCAAGTTTTTTGTTGTTGTTGTTGTTTAATTAATTTATTAATTTGTAGTACATCAAGTCAAGTTGGCAACTATTTGAAATAAAAAAAAAATTGTATACATTTTAAAGTTTTTTTTATATTTCATTTAACATTTATTGTTTTTTTTAAGGAAATATTACTTATTGTTATTTCATACTTATTCAATATAGCTGAGGCTTTTTTTTAAAACACCATTATGAATAACTAGATTTTACTATCCTTCTTTTTTTATTAATTTTTATTTTTGAATTGTCCGTTTTTAATTAAATTAATTAATTAAATTTAATTTGTAGTAATTTTGTGTATTTTTGTCTTTTTTTTTCTAGATTTTTTATATTTCAGTTTTAGTTCTTTTAATACATCAACTAAATGAAAATGAGAAATTTTGCTTTGGCAACTTGCCAATATAAAATAAGTATTTTTAAATATTATATTCAATTTCAGTAACATTTATTTCAAGTAGTGCAAATGTTTTTTAATGGTTTTAGTTGTAGTTCACTATAATAAACTTGTAGTTTGTAGTAAACTTGTCCAGTGTAATTGAGGCCATTGCCATTTTTTTTTATCCAGTTATGAAAAACTGGAATAGACACGGAAAGTCCTTACATTTTTCAGAAACAAACAGCAGCTTGCTTTTTTATGATGCTGTTTATTTTACTCATTGTGCATTGAATATGCAGAGCGTGCATCCCCCAGGTCCCACAAAGCCATTCATTTATTATTTGCTGAAATCACGTGACAGCATAATGAATTTTCATTACATAATTCCTTATTGATTACTCTGAACACATGACAAATCTGAGAGAATATTAGGAGAGTGTTTAATGATGCCTTTTAATACGTTTTAAAAAATGACAGAACTGGGATATTCTGGCAGATACATGAATACCCGAATTAAAATGTCACCGAGCGTTCCCGTTAAATGCATATAGATGAAGAAGGGAACGCATTAGGAGTATCTGTTCATAATTCAGTCTGTGTGGAGGATTAGACACAGATAAGTGCTGATAGATGCCACTTTAAGTGAATGCTGTTATATTGGATAGGATAGCGTTTTGCACTGTTCTCATGAATCTTCTGGTGAGATCATGTGTGAATAGGTATGTTTCCTGTAATGCGAGGTCCACCATAGTGGTGTTAAAGATATAGTTCACCCAAAGATAGAAATTCTGTCAATATTTACTCGCCCTTAAGTCGTTCCATACTTGTGTAACACAGAAGAATGTACATACAACATACAGTTCATAGTGGCTGTTAAGAGTGGACGATAGAAGCAAATGTTTCTTCAAATGATTTATTTATTAGTTTTAGTTTATTTAGTTTTAATTATTTTAGTACTTGAAATGCAAAACAAGCGCCAGCAAAACAGTGTAAAGAAATAGTCTTTGTGAGAAGCAGTCAATCAGCAGAAGTTAAAAACAGCTTGTAAGTGTATTTATTTCTTGTCTCAGTGGGAGAGAACTTCACATCATGATTAGAAAACAACTCTGAGAAATGTGTAACAGGAACGTAGACGGCAATTTCTCAGGCGGCCCGGTCCTCCGATCTCATTTACTAATGTCACTCCTGACTACACTGTGTGCAGCTCAGACAATTAGGCTGCTTGAATATTGAACCGTGAAGAAGACTTGTGTTTGTGGTTGCTGTGTGCACACGTGCAGGCTCTGTGGCTTGAGCGTAGCAGTTTATTTGCATTAGAGCTGATGCTGAACGCTGGAAATACATTGATTTTAATGGGGATGGTGCATTGCAAGGGCTTGTGAAAGTGATGTTGTGTCATGCAAATAAAAGTTGGTCTTGTTTCTCCAAAACAAAAAAAACAATATAGTTTGTGAATAAGCCACACATTTTTAGTTTGATATCTAAATTAGTGACTTTAGTCGCACCAAAGTTGTTGTTTTCTTATAACATGAGCATGCTAATAGCTCACTTCAGCTGTTAGGTGCAAGAGGCTGTGCTAATGCTGCATTTTCAGTATAATCAGAGCTGAAGGGCATTGTTAGGCACAGAGTACAGCGGATGATTATTGCTTTTAGATAAGAAGTTACTGCACTAAAAAAGTCTATCTATCTATCTATCTATCTATCTATCATCATTTTAATGTAATGGACTTTTACATTTAATTTATTTTAACTTTATTTGTATTTTTTGTTTTAAATAAACTATTTAACTATATATATATATAGAGAGAGAGAGAGAGAGAGAGAGAGAATTTTAAATATAATTAATTTTAATACAATAAAAATAATTTAATTGAAAAAATAATTAAATTTAATAAAATGTT